CTGCGGGCAAGCGGCCGCTGGCAGGCTCGATCCGTTCCGGGGCGCACGCCCAGGGCAAGGGCGCCGCGCAGCCGGCTCGGATCTGGTCGACCAGCTCCATCGAGGAGCGCGACCGGATCAAGGAGTTCTGGCTCGGCCTCTCGGAGCGGGATCGCCGCGAGCTGGTCAAGCTGGAAAAGGAGACGGTGCTCAAAAAGATGAAGGACCAGCAGAAGCACGGGTGCACTTGCGCCGTCTGCGGCCGGAAGCGGTCCGCCATCGAGGACGAGCTCGAGGTGCTGTACGACGCCTATTACGACGAGCTCGAGGAGTACGCCAATCACCAGCAGCGCTGGCAGAGCAGCGGGGGCACCATCCCGCCCCCGCCCGGTCCTGGGCCGTTCCCCGGCAGCGTGGCGCTGGACAGCAACGGCGCCGTCATCGGAGGCGACCAGCTGTCGCGGGCCAGGTCACAGCCCAACCACCGCGACGGCAGACACGGCCATGGCGGCCACCACCACCCGCAGGCCCACGGCGTGCAGAAGAAGGCGCCGGCACCGCTGCACCCTGAGTCGTCCGACGGCTACGACGACGACGAGCTCGACGACGAAGAGTTCGACGACGAGGACGACGAGGAGTACGACGATGAAGAAGAGGACGACGAGGCCGATCTCGAGCGCGAGCGCGAGGATGCCGCCGCCGCCGCAGCCGGCGGCATCAAGAAGGGCCCGGGCGGCGGTGTGGGTCGCAGGAGGTCGATCGCTGCAGCCGGCGGTCAAACAGGGCAGAACGACCTGTTCGGCCTCGGCAGCAGCCTGACCGTAAAAGGTGAGTTGCGCGCGATCTGCGCCCCCCGCCTCGCGCTTCTCGTTCCCCGTTGCCAGCTGGGAAAGGAGGTTTCGATCTAGTGCCGCCCAGTCGCCGCTGGCGAAACGCAGGCTCCCCCTGGCGAAGCCGGCGCAGGCGCTGCGTGCCAACTTGCGGCCGGTCCCTTTGCGACGACAAGGCGGCCTGCGGTTGCGCGCATCTTGCTCGACCTATCCGCTTTCCCCTTGCAGGCCCTTGTCTAACCTGGCTCACCCACCTCCACTCTGTGTTCATCCGTCGATCCCCCCCCCTGCCCTTCGCCTGCCATCGCGCCCTCCCCCGCTCCACCCTCTGCGATGAACACCGCTCGCACCTTGATTCTCTCCCAGGAGGTATCCTCACTGTGGCCGACGACCTGCTCAAGAACGACGGCCAGAAGTTCCTCGAGATGATGGAGCAGCTCGCCGAGCGGCGGATGCAGCGCGAGGAGGAGGCGGGCATCGAGCTCGGCGAGAGCGAGGATGAGGACGACGAGGATCCCGTCGACGACCTGGACGACGACGACGAAGAGGACCTCGAGGACGAAGAGGACGAGGAAGACGTGAGCATCGTCGTGCGGCTGGGCTTCCGCGCCAGCTACTCCGCCCGGTGCTGCCAGAGCTGATTTTTACCATCTTCGCCGCTCTATCCGACCCGGCATGTCGCCCTTCGCTGCCGGAACAGGACATCATGACCGACGAGCAACGCATGGAAGAGGGCAGGCGCATGTTCCAGATCTTTGCTGCTCGGATGTTCGAGCAGAGGGTCCTCCAGGCGTACCGCGAAAAGGTGAGCGTCACAGTCGTCCGCGCTGTCGCCTGCCGCCCGCGCTCTGGTCGCCTCCCAGTCAGGCACACTGCTGACGCTTGCATCATCACCGCCCTCGAACCAACTCCCGGACTTCCACAGGTCGCCCAGGAACGCCAGCTGCAGCTTCTCCGCGAGCTCGAAGAGGAGGACATGAACGAGAAGGCCAAAGAGGCCAAGCGACAGAAGGACAATCAGAAGAAGAAGGACAAGAAGAGGTGAGGACGGGCGTGCTTGAAGGTGCCGCGGCCTTGCCCCATCCCTGCCCCGCGTGGCTACAGTCGGCTGACGTCGTCGCGTGCATCATCTCGATGGCACGTCGCCCACATACCCTCCAACAGGATGCAACGCGAACAGCGCGAAGCCGAGCGCCTGCGCAAGGAAGAGGAGCGAGCGGCCGAGGAGGCGGCCGCCAAGGCCCGCGCCGAGAAGCAGCGCGAGGCCGACCTCAAGAGGCAGGAGGAGCTGCGCGCCAAGCGCGAGGCCGAGCGCCGCGCCAAGGAGGAGGAGAAGGCGCGCAAGGAAGAGGAGAAGCGCAAGCGCCAGGCCGAAGAGCGCGAGCGCGAGCTCGAGCGGGAGCGCAAGAAGAAGGAAAAGGAGGAAAAGGCGCGCCTCGAGCGAGAGGCCAAGGAAAGGGAGAGGAAGCAAAAGGAAGAGGAGGCCAGGCGGGCCAGGGAAGAGAAGGAAAAGGCGGAGCGCGAGCAGCTCGAGCGCTCCCAGAAGGCCAAGGCCGAAGAGGCCAAAAAGGCCGAGGCCGCTCGCAAGGAAAAGGAAGCAGCCGACAAAACGGCAGCAGCGCAGGCCAAGCAGCAGCAGCAACAGCAGCAGCAGCGTGCCGCCGCTGCCGCTGCCGCCACCGCTGGCTCGTCGTCTCAGACGCCCGTCGAACGGACGTCGAGCGCCTCGCCTTCGGCCAAGACGGCGCTGCGATCGCCCGGTGCTGGCGTGCCGCAAGGCCCCGCTGGCCGCTCCAAGAGCGGCTCGTTGCAGGACTCGCCGTCTTCTGCACCCACTGGATCCAAGTCCGGCAGCGGTGGCCGCGCCAGCCAGGCTCAGCGCCAGGCGCAGGCTGCTGGCTCGGGCTCCTCGCTTCCGTCCGTGGCCCCTTCCACGCTTCCCGCTCCGCCTCAGGGCCTGCCACCGCGCCCCTCGAACGCCGTCGTCAACCCTTCCGGCTTCCACCAAGCATCTCAAGGCCCCGCGTCGGTGTCGGTCTCGGCCAACGCCGGTCTGCCCAGGCCACCCGTCAGCTCCGGCGTCCCGACCTCGGCAGTGCCTTCGCTCGGATTCGGCTCCATCGGTCCGCAGAGCTTCGGCGCCACCGGCTCGGGCAAGGCGACGCCCTCGACGGCGGCTCCCAAGGCGCCTCAGACGCCGCAGCAGCAGCAGGGCCAGCAACCCCACTTTGCCCACCACTCGCTGCCCCAGCACCACCCGTCCGTCTCGCCCGGATCTGCATCTGCAGGCTCGCGAACCATGTCTGGCTTCGGTTCCGCCACCTTTGATGCGCTGCGGTCGCCCACGCTGCCGAACGGCATCTCATCGGGCATCGGCTTGGCAGGCAAAGGCTCCGTCGACTCTGCTCTCCAGTCTCCGAGCCTCGGCTCGCTCGGCTCGGCGACAAACAGCCTGGCGTCTCTCAACCTGGGTGCGAATCCGGTCGGTTCCGCGCTGCATGGCAGCAAGCAGGCCGGCATCGGGCTTGCAGGGCCGTCAGGCCCCGGCGGATCGTCGCAGGCGTCTTCGAGCTTCATCGGCCACGGCCTTCCGGCATCGTCACACGGCGGCATCCCGCCCATCGGCCAGCCCACCGAGCCGCTGCGCTCCCGCGCGCCATCGATGGCCGACTCGGACCAGCTGAGCAGCATTGGCGTCGCCACCCGCTCCTCGTCGGCGCTGTCGCAGCGACCGATCCAGAGGCCCAACCCGGCTCCGATTGGTCCGATTGGGCGGCCGCGACCGGCCGAATCGCATGCGCACGACGATCCGTTCGGCATGGGCGGCGGCAACGGCCGGTCCTCGAGCAGCGCGAGCAACTCTGGCCCGGCCAGTCCGAAGCTGCCGCAGGGCATCCTCGGCAGCTCTGCGCTGGGCGGCGACGATGAGCTGGTCGAGCCCAAGCCTCGGAGGGTCAGCAATACGGTGCCGATCAGCGGCGGCGGCGGTGCTGGCGGCGGATCGTTCTTTGGCATGGGCAGCGGCGCCGTCGGTGCCAACTTTGGCATGGGCGGCGGCGGGCCGTCTCCGTGGAACACGTTCTCCGGTGGCGTCGGCTCTGCGCCCGGAGGACCGCTGTCGCCTGGATTCAGCAACGCCGCACCCGGTGCGGGCGCGAGCAGCTTTGGCTCGTCGCTCAACATGCCGGCGACGTCTTCGGCTGCGCCGGGCTCGGTGGATCCATGGGCGCGCGCTCAGTCGAGCTGGGACCGCGCCCGTTCGGCGTTTGAGCAGCCGGGAGGCGGCTTTGGCCAGATTGGCGGCCTGGGGGGCGTCGGGAGCCAGTTGCTGCACGGCAACAACCTGGGCCACCCGGGGCAGCACCAGGGCCTGGGCGGGCCGGCGGGCGGAGCGACGATGAGCCCGTTTGGTGCGCCGCGTAGCATCTTTGGCGGCGGGGCCACGCCGGTGCTGGCGAGCCAGCATCCGGGAGCGATTGGGTCGTCGCTGTCGCCGACCTCGCCGGGATCTCGACATGCGGGCAACGATGGTCGCAGCGACCTCTGAGGCGAGCGCCCCGGCGGAGCCCGCCGCCCCAGTTGCTGTATCGGCCGTTGACGTCTTGACCGGGTCAGCGGCTGCAAACCGTGGCGCCTGGCGCGGCCTCGACGGCGTGCGGCGGTGCTGGCGTCCGGTCGAAAGCTTGCTTGCCGCTTGGCTGCGGGTGCGGTGCGGTGCGGTGCGGTGCAGTTGTGATTATTCTCCATGCCCGTCGTTGTCGCTCATTCTCGCTGCTGCTTTGCGCCTTTTGTCGCCCTCGCGCTGTCGTCAACCATAGCCTTTTCCCTCGTCGCGACGACCCGGCTCGGCCAGGGAGCGAGAGAGGGGCTAGGGTTACTCCGCAGCCGCTCCGCTCAGCCGCGCCTCCTCGATCGACTCGGCCCGTGGTGCATCAGCAGCTACCTCAAGTGTACCAACCTCTAAATGCAGACATGCTGATGATTGTCCCCCCCTCCTGTGCGGCAAGAGTTGTTCTGCTGGCCGTGGTGGCCGGGTGGGCACGAGGCGATGTAGGAGAGGGGGAGTCTTCCTCTCGTGCGACAAGAAATGACGGGCGAAGGTGGGTTGGGTGGCCGCCGATTGACGTCGTTTGGTCGCGGGCGGGCAGCTCCACACGGGGGCGTGTGGGGTTGCCTGGCCTGGCCTGGCCTGCTGGGCCGGGCCGCCGAGAGGAAGCAAGCAGGAGAGCGAGACGAGTGCGGGCGGGTCAGCCTGCCAGATCGGCGGGCCTGGCGGCCGGCCTGGATGCCTCGCTGGGAGTGCATCCAACGCACCATCCACCACCATCCACCACCACCTCTACGCGCTTCGCAACCAAACCGGGCCGGGCCATCCAATCCCGAACTTGCCTGTTGCCTTCTCTGTCCCCACCCCCGTCTGCTCTCCGCACCTCCCCGGACTCACTCTCGCTCCTTGACACTCCATACGCAGCCTCCACCAGGCACACCAAGATCGGACTCACTCGCACCCCCTGGCCTCTGCGCCGCTGCACAGCCTGGCCGCCTGTTCCCTCACCCTCTCTCTCTCCTCGCATCCTGCCGACGCCCCATCCAGCCTCTGCAACATGGCGGGCGCCAACCCGGGCGCCAACTTTGCCCCAAACGCCTATGCTATGGCGCTGGTGGTGAGCACAGCCGCACCACCGACTTGGCCGATCTGTCTTGAGTGTTCCGTCGGCTCACTCCAGTCCCCTCTCTTTGTTCTATCCTCTCGCCCCTCTCTGCCGCAGTCTGGCAAGCCCAGAGACTCCCTCAACGCCATCCAGCAACGGCTCAAAAAGGCCAAAATCTTCAACGACGAGCTGTAAGTGGCGCACTGATCCTCACTCTCCCTCCCCTGCCCGCATTAAACGGCGAATGCACCGCGATTTTGACGCCCCTTTGCCCTCGCCCTGCCCACTTCCCCTCGCACAGCGCCGACTACTTTGCCGCCAGACGCGAGCTAGAAGAGGCCTACCTCAAGCAGCTCCAGAAGATTGCGAAAAAGAACTTTCTCTCGGACCCCTCGTCGATCGCGCCGGGCTACGTGCCAGTCTACGAGAGGCTCATCCACGAGCTCTCCGAAGTCGCCGACATCCACGGCGAGCTCGAGAGGCGCATCGCCCAGGAGTGCGAGACCGTCCTCCGCGACGCCAGCAACGCCGGCGAGTGGTCACGCCTGCGCGAGCACGACGACTCGCTCGGCAACACGATCCGCGAGCTCAACTCGCTCGAGGCGCAGCTTGCAAAGGACCAGAAAAAGGTCGAGGCCGCCTCGGCGAAAAAGGCCGGCCAGGCCCAGACCAAGGTGCAGGAGACAGAGCGCGCCATCGCTCAGACGATCGACATCTGGGAGACGGAGGCGCCCTTTGCCTTCGAGTCCTACCAGCGCGTCGATGCGCAGCGGCTCGAGCTGCTCAAGGAGGTCGTCGCCAAGTTTGAGACGGCACAGAGCGACGCCGCCCAGCGCCAGATGCAGCTGTCGGAGAGGACGATGCAGGAGTGCCTCAACTTTGACGCCCAGGCAGACATGCAGGAGTTTATCTTGCAGAACTCGTCGACCGGAGGGTCCGGCTACCGCAACGGACGGACCACGGGCGGCCCCGTGCGTCGAGAGTCGGTCGCCGGGCGCAGCATCTCCAGCAGGACGGGGGTGCCGCCTTCGATGCCTTCGAGGACCAACGGCATGGAAGAGTTTGGGGCTTCGTCCGCCTCGATCCACTCGGGCGACCGCACGGCAGGGACCATCTCCGAATCGACCCCGAGCAAGAGCGGCGGCTCGACGCTCCGCAGCGCCTTCAGCCGTCTCGGCCGGCGTAAGGACAAGGACTCGAGCAACACGCAGTCGACCTACGGCTCGCTGTCGGGTGATTCGCGGTCGCGCGCCGACTCAGGCAGCCGTCCCGTCACCGCCAGCGCTTCGCGACCGTCGCAGCTCGGCGCCGTCGGCGAGGACTCGCTGGACAGCGCACCCGAACCGGCGGGTAGCGGCTTGATGGCGCCCATGACGCCGTCCACGGCCGACGCTGGCCGCGCCACACCCCGAGTGCAGCCTCCTCCGATCCAAGTGACGACAGCAGCTCCGCCCGAGGTCGACGCGGAAGGCTTCTCGATCCCTCCGCCCGACCGGAAACCCTGGGAGCTCGGCGGAGCAGCCGCCCTCGGCGCGGGTGCGGGTGCGGCTGCGGCCGCAGGTGCAGGTGCCGCGGGTGCGACGAGCGCCAACGGCGGTCGTTCGCTCATGGACGGCGACGACTCGTACGAGGACCAGGACACGGTCGGCAGCGTCGGTCTTGGCTCCAAGGTCAGCAACATGAACATCAGCAACCGGCCCATCACGGAAAGCTCGGACAAGGACAAGGCGGCCTTGGAGCGGGTCCGCTCGACGCTCCTCACGAGCGGGCCTCCGCAGAGGCGGGCGACGACCTCGAGGCGGGACAGCCGCGACGTGCGCAACACGACCTACATGCCGGGCAGCATGGGCGTGGGCGCCGACGATGCGCGCATGAGCCAGTTTGGCGGCGGCGCGACGGCCGCCTCGCCGGGCACCATGACGCCGACGTCGCCGTTTGGCGGGCAGAGCGCGTTTGTGGGCCAGCCGGGCCTCGGCGACCACCGGACGCAGAGCATGGCTTCGATGGCGTCGACGAATCCGTTTGAGAACAGTTCGACGGCGGCGGCGGTGCGCGCCTCGCTCACGGAGCGGGTCAATGTCATTTTCGCGGGGCGCGACGTGTCCAAGGTCATGGTGGTGGGCGAGCTGAGCATCTCGGTGCGCGACATCAGCCCGAGCTCGAAGCCCCTGCACCTGCGCCTCGACGCCTTTGAGCAGCTCGACAAGGCCGCGCCCAACCCGGCCTTTTTGCAGCCCGTCGCCGACAAGCCGGGCGAGTACCTGCTCGACGTCAAGAGCCTGTTTGAGCACGGAGCCTCGTCGGGCCTCCCCGGCAGCGGGGGCCAGGCCGTGGTGCTCAAGTACCAGGTGCATGTCAGCGAGACGCGCAAGGCCGAGTTTGTCCCGCTCAGCGTCCACTCGCAGTGGCGCTGCGAGGCGCACCAGACGTCGTTCCTGCTCAGCTACTCTGCCAACCCGTCGTCGCGCCTCGTCACCGGTGCCGGTGCCGGTGCCGGTTCCGCTTCCGGTGGAGGTGGCGGTTCCGAGGCGGCGATGCTGCAGGACCTGCAGTTTGCCGTGCAGGTACAGCCGTCGACCGTGACGGGCGTCATGACCAAGCCGACGGGGACGTGGTCGGCCGAGTCGCGCACCATGTTTTGGAAGCTCACCGAGGGCGTCTCGCTGCCCGCCGCGCAAGAGGTGGCACCTACGACGCACAAGCTGCTGGCGCGCTTCCAGATTGACGCCACCAGCGGCGGTATCACGGCGCCGCAGCCCGTCTTTGTCAAGTGGAAACTCGTCGGGCGCACCCTGTCCACCCTGGGCGTACGCGTGCTCGACGTGCCCGGCACCTCGGGCTCCTCGGCCGAGGGCGCCCTCCGCATCGACGAAGTCGTCAGGCAGACCGTGTCGGGCAAGTACATCAGCGGTCCCTGATCGTGTCCCCCCCGCACGCACGCTCCACGCGCTCGGTACGCTCGCTCTCTCGCTCGCTCGCCCATCCTGCTGCGGAACCCGGACATGCTCCCGCCCTCGCCCTCGCCCTCGCCCTCGCCCTCGCCATCGCCATCGCTATCGCCATCGCTCGCCAAGGATGCCAGCCGCGTCAGCTCTATACCTCCCCCCCCCCCCTCTCTCTCTCTCGCTCTCCGTCGACGACGTCGCCCGACCCCGACCCCTTACCCTTTACCCTTTTTTCCGTTTTTCCTTTACTTCCGTTC